TATATTTAATTATATTAGATTTTGCCACACTGCGCTCATGGATATTGGTAAACTTGACATGTCATCCATATTTTCAATGCAGATTTTCTTATAGTGTAAGTACCGAATTAGTGGTGAATCAACATTTAAAATTAAAAATAACAATTTAAATGCTGATATACCATCGTAAAGGTTTCTCGCGTACTATGGAATTTTTAAAGTTTTGGCATTTCTTAAAAATTCATGTCTTTCAGAACCTATTCACTGTCTTTTAGTACGTGTAAAGTAAAACATTACCTAAATACAAAATTTTATCTATATTGTTACAATCGTTTCGGAGAAATTGTTCCCATCTCTGGGCAGGGGCTCCCCAGTGTCAGCTCCTTCCACTCGACCGCATCCAGCGCAGAGCGGTTCAAATCATCGACGACCGAGTTCTTTCCGATCGGCTTGACTCACTGGCAAAGCGTAGAGATGTCGCATCTCTTTGCGTATATTATCGCATGTACCTACCACGGGAAGTGCTCTGAGGAATTGTTCAGACTAATTCCAGCCGCTCAATTTCACCCTCATACATCGCGACAGAACTCACGATACCATCCATACCATATGGATGATTGGCGGTCCACCACTGTGCGATTTAGAAGATGTTTTCTTCCTCGCACTTCAACTTCCATGTGAAACCGATTACCACCAGCGATTTTTCCGAACCGATACGACTTAGAGACCTTCAAGAAAAGAGCCTACTCCTTTTTAAAAGGCCGGCAACGCATCTGCAATTCCCCCGGTGTTGCAGGTGTTCATGGGCTGCGGTAGTCACTTACCATCAGGTGAGCCGCATGCAAGTTTGCCAAATTTGTAGTATTGTTCATAATATTTTTTTTAAAGTAGTAAATAGGTTTAATTGTATATTTTATAGAATAAAGGTGACAAACGAGCACTTGTAAACCTGATGATAAGTAGTTGCTATGGCCCATAGACATCTACATCTATCATCAATTAAGAATAAAAATGTAAATGCTTTTTCACCCCTGAAGACTGAGATGGAAGGCCTTAGTACCGGTTCTCTACACTCACGACCCAGTAGCATTATTTTGTTTAACGATGTTATCCTATGAGATCGTGAGCCCCGGTCGAGCCGACTAATCCGTACTGCATCTATGTATAATTAGCTTAACCGCAGCGGTTCTATACCACGTAAAAAATAATGATTTCAATAAAACAATGATTTTGTGTCGATCCAAGCTCGTAGTAAAGCTTAAAGATGTTCGTGTTCTCCGCAAACAAAACATTTTATTCGTCTATGAAAATAATTATTTATTTTTACCCAGCTCGTAGGCCGTGTGGACTAAAATACGGACGGAATAAGGAACTTGTAGGAAACGTTTAACAAGATTTTCCCAGAAATGGGACGTAGCTAGATCGATTTTTCGCTTCCGATTAAAGTTAGCCCTTTTCGAAAACGTGTTTACAAACAAATATACAGGGTTATTTTGCAATAACCAGCCAAATTTGCAGAGGAGGTTCAGAATAGGTAATATAAGAGAACGGTGAAAAAAATAATAAAAAAACCTTAAACATTTAGTCCTTTTTATCTTTAATATTGAAAATGTATGGAAATACATTATTTTTACTGATTGTCATTCATAAATATGTAGAGCCTACTAAATTATTACGCACGTACACATTCGTAATAGAGTGTTGAATTCAGAAGCAGTTCGGTCAGTTTGGCGTTCACGCTCGATTTCAGATTTAGGTATAAGCGCGTATCTCCGCCCTTTCCCTTCCGTAAGCCGTTACACCGCTAGATACGTTCACCCGGCAGGCCCTAGCCCAGTGTTCGCTTGACTTTTGACTCCATTACGTACCAGTGTTCTATTTTAAATCTTCCTTAGGTAGTATTACTTGTAACTTTTTTAGAATACTATAAAATGGTACGACGTTACATTTTTAAGCAATGAAAGCTTAAGTAGTGCGTATAATCTTTATACGAAAGTGAGTTTTTATTGCGTTCGCAAAGAAAATAATATTAACGCACGTGTACTACCTAATCGGAAAACAACCCTTGCAGCTAACCAAAAGCTGTTAGTCTTTGGATAGTTCAACACTCCGTCACATGGAAGTGCTCGAGGTGATGATTCAATAATAAACTTGGCTGTCGAAAACGCAATAATTGAGTTTTTTGAGCGGGACCCCCGCGATGGAACCAATGATGCAGCCCGAGTTCAAAGTTATCCAGTACGTGTGAAAACTACTAAATTCTTTTTGATATCGTCCACTTCATTACCAACGTGTACACGTTGCACTGAATAGTAACGATTGTCCACCTCAAAACATTTTGTGAATGGTTAGTGTTTTACTTTAAGTGATTGCATATTTAAGTTGTTAATAGTTCGTTATCGTAAATAGTTAATCATTTTAAATTTTTAATAGTTGATAATACTTGATCACAATTTTTAAATATGCCATAATAAAGACAGTCATCGATTAAATTGTTGAAATGTATTTTTTTATTTAATAATTAATGCTTCCTAAGCTTGTTAAAGTATGAAGGGAAAATTGGAATCATAATTCGCGTCGCGTTGTTATGAACTTAGTAGCGAGCGTGTAATTAAGGAATTAAATAGTAGGCAAAAGCTTCGTGCATTGACTCGTATACGCACGAGTCAATGCACGAAGAAGAATATAAACATTTAATGATATATATATATATGTTTTGCAGTTTTTCAAAATACGCGTAAGTAAGGGTTTTACATTTATTTGAAAATATTCGAAATTGAATGTGATTTATCGGCAACAACTATAGCATACGTACGTAGTTCTTGCCGATAAATCACATTCAATTTCGGATATTTTCAAATAAATGTAAAACCCTTACTTATGCGTATTTTGAAAAACTGCAAAACATATATATATATATATATATATATATATATATATATATATATATATATATATCATTAAATGTTTATATTTTGAACTTAATAATTAAAGTTGGCTAGTCTTTGAAAATAACCCTGTATTATATGAAAAATATATTTAAAACGGAATTTTATCACGTTTAAATTTTCATAGGCCATTCTCATAGAATGTCTAACAGGGGGATTTTGCCATAGTTTCCACGATTGACGAGTGGATTGGGCTGCTGCCCATCTCCTGCTTTAGTTTACATCTGTCGCCACTTTCGACACTCACGGGATGATATGGGATAGTGGATATTCTTACACTGCCACTATATGGCTAACACTTTAATTTATTCGGATGTAAATCAATTGTAACATCATCTATATCCATTTTATTTGGTATACAAAATAAGCCTGACTGGTTAATTTTTATCAATTACATTCTTGTCAACTAAGAATTTATTATGGAATACCAATAAAATAAAGATATCGACAATTAAAATAAAGTAAAGACGAAAGAAAAATAAAATAAAGACGCGACAAATACCGAGACGCTATAAAAAATTTCGCAGAAGGTTTGTGGTGACTACGTCCAGTTCGAGGAAGTCCAAATCATTTAGCCAAATTGATTGATGGTTATTTATTATTTATTTAAATTTTAGTGAAGATAAGTAAATTAAAAATAATTGTTGTCATTAAATTCAAGAGACAAAATAATTACTCGTCATATTTATATCCAATGTAACATATTTTTATTTTGTTTTGTCATGTGACCATTTACGTGCATTACATGTTTTAATAAATGGAAACACGTTTGCACACAAGCAACCCCTCACCCTAAACGTATATACCTTTTCCGTTTCGTCGTGGGTAAAATTACTACTAATATGTGCTTTTTGTGCGAGAGTACTGATACTGCGAACGCCAATCCACCTGCAAAGTGCGATGATTATCACAAATCCTCCCTACCCATGGTCTTGCAGTGAACAACAGTGCAATTGTGGGAATACTATCCAGTGGGAATTACTGTGTTGTTATGTTTTTTTTTCCTTATGATAACACTTTGTAACGTATATTAATACATAAATACTAATTTATTTACACAAACCAACGAATTCAAACGTCAAGCGTCAAAACGAAACCAACCAAGTTTCCTACCAGTTACACAATCGCACTGCTGTAACGAGGTGAAGAAGAAAGAGAAAAGGAATTTTTGTGACCCACATCTATGAATTTATTAAATTTTGTATGTACTTTATTTCAGTTTACCATTTTTTTTACTGTTTAGCTAGTGGTCAGTGTTCTTGTTCAAGTCCCAGACAGCCCGTAAATACATTTGCGCAAAATCAAAATTTGTATGTGTCTGTATCTTAGCCATCGATCATATCAAAGTAATATATCTAGGAGTTATATTGGATACGGTCAGGTTAAATTAGGACTCACCAGTGCCTTTATGGGAACGTGTTTACTTTTAGCATTATAATGGCTCCTGAACAGTTGTCACAGGAGAGAAATACTAATACAATTTCATTTTATAACAAGTGATTTTTTTAATTTATAAAATATTTACCATGTTTTTAATCATATTTTTGCATTGTCATCCGAATTTGAGCTATATTCAAAATTTTAATAAAATTTAAATTTGCTCTACAACGTACATATATTTTATTTTATAAGTATAGATAAGAGTAGCAGCAGTGTACCTGATAGTCAGTAGCTACTGGAGACACCTGCAACCAACTTCAAACAAAGAAACAGATGCTTTGGCATCTCAGATGAGTGAGATATTCTTTATATAATAGACAAACGAGCGCACAGTCCAATAGATGGCAATTTACACATATATTTATCCTCGATTATGAATCAAAATGCAAAATACGTTGTCATTCATGAGGACTAAGATGGAATATCTTGTTTGTGAACTCGTTGCTTACGTGCTATGAAATTTAAGGCAAGGGATATACCAGATATAAAATACCCAGATCGGCAATGGGAAACAGCGTAATAAGTGTAATACGTCTGATCCTGTAACTGTCACTACGCTTGACAAGCGTGGTGATATTTCCATATATTACGAGCCATATACAACAAGTCTTATAAACAAAACTTTTTCCTCAGGTTCAGCTAATGGTGGAAGCGGTTACTACTTGCTCCAACGAAATCGGGCTTCCTCCACTGATTGTTATAGACAGAGATGAAGAAGCAGCTTACGAAAATTTGGTCGTGTTGAATTCAACAACTTACAGAGATTGCCATTATGAGATTACAAATCGCTGGCCCGTCGAACAAAATTGGCTATATGTTGACGAATACGGCCTTCATACCAGACCAATCGACAGGGAGGACCCTTCGATCGCATTTATGCCTCTTTCACAGGTACACATCGAGCTGATCCTGCATTGTAAAAGCGACGAGCCGGCTAGAATGAAGCGCTCTCTAAATGCCGTTGCTGAGCCCAATTCTCTCGGGCCTTACGATTACGGCACCCATAAATGGGTTTTAACGGACACCATTTTGTATAACGCCAGACGTAGCTACGTGAATTTAATCGTCAATGACATAAATGATAACGACCCGAAATTTATCGAGAAGGAAAATGAACCTATCGCAGTTGGATACCCACTGCCTGAATTGGAAGAAATCGTCTCACCACGAGCTTTAGTGAAGTTGAAGGTAGATGTTTAAAAGTATTTTTTAAATGAAAATAAATAGTAGAGGCTCATAGAGAAATTATTATTGATTAACATCACGTTTGATTTAAATAGGAAATAATTAAAAAAGGCATTACATCATTTATTTAAAATGATTATAATTAAATTACAATCAATTTTAACATTCTGATATTTGGATAAATTTTCCTGCTGCTTATATATGTTATATTACGTTATCCTGGCCAATTTTGACTACCATGCCATGTTTTGATAAGACCTATAAAATGATTTCCCATTCAAAATAGATATACAAATTCAGCTTTCGAATCCCTGCATCCTTTTATTTATCTTATAATCCCTTAATATGAAAATTGAGTCAATGTCAAAAAATATACATGTTCTTAAATATACAATATGTATATTATTATAGATTTCGGTCAAAAACTAAATTATGTTGGTCAAACAGAAAAAAAAATGTTAGGGTTCCTTGCAGTACAACAAAAAGCCAAAAACTGCAAAGTGTGTGGCTGAAAATTTAAAAGATTTTGAAATATACAGCATGCGCTCTAATACTATCCTTCAATATTTATTAATATATTTAGTGTGTAATATTTTTTTTTTGTTTTTAAAGATATGTTATCGATCGAAAGAAGAATCAAAATTATTTCAGCCCCGAAATAGCAATAAAACAAACTCTCTCTCTCATAATTTAATTTCGTGATATCAGTAACTACTCCCAACGAAATCATAAAACGATATGTTTTAATACAAATCTGTAAGAGGAACAACGGTATTAAATTTTATTCATTGAAACTGTTGTTTTGGTGACAGGTTTGTAAAGAATTTTATGAACACATCGGACATACTGCATTACATTATATGACATCACACGGCACAAAACATGCGCATTATTATTTAAATTTTCTTAAAAGTTTCGAATAATAACTTAGCACCGACATAAAGTTATGTTGTTTAGTTTCTTTTGTGAAGGAATATTTTTGTTTCGACTTCCTTAACGAGATATGAGTACGAAAATAAAGATGAATATGAAATTCATTTGCTTAATACTGCCTAAGGGAAGAGAATATTTTGTAAGATGGACTCGCTAAATTATTTTATTGAAATTAATAACCGCATGTTTTTCATTTTAAAATACTTTACTTTCATCTGTAAAAAGCAGTTATCAATTTCAAAATAACATTCATTTTGTTTTGATTTTTCGCTAAATATATTAAAAAACAAAGCTCTTAAAATCAAGAAATCTATTGCTTATTTATGTTATGTTCTACAAAATGACTCAGAATAAACGTAATCTTAAGAACGTAAAAAATTATCAGCTGTAAACTTTCAAATAAATAAATAAGCATTCTTTCCATGCCCTTGTCTGTTTTAATAAAAAGCGTAATCATAGTATTTTAATGCAAATAATTATTTACATATTTTAACAGGCAACAGACGCCGATATTGGTGAAAACGCAGCACTAGTCTACTGGAGTCCGCAGCCGATCTTAGCTGTTTCCCCTTCAAGTGGATTTGTTCACGTACGCAATAACGCACAGCTGGAAAACGGTGCCAGATTCACAGTGTATGCAACCGACCGTAATGGCTTGGGTCGTACCGGACACATTGATCTTGTGGTAAATGCTTTTTAATACGTTTTACAATCATTCACGTATAATATGCAACATATTGAATGTTTCAAAAAAATCCTCTTTTAGGGTTTATTCTTTACTCTGAAAATCACGCGTTTGCGTTAATGCAATGCAGTTGATGTTTTAATGTCTGTAAATTCTATTCCGTCTCGGTTTGAAGGCTAACTCGTAGAAGCAATATAATTACATGCTGTCAGAGTAGTCTTTGTCTGAGAGGTATTTCGCTTTAATTCTCAAAAGTGACAACGCATTTGTTCATCCACTAGCTACTTAATATCAGGTGAGCTGTAAGTTTGTTTGTCATTAGATTTTTCAAATAAGTTTGCACGCAAAACAAAATATTTCAAAAAAAAATCATTTTAATAATAGCTATTTTCCGTATGTACCTGTAGTAAACTAAAATAACGAGAATATTATTAATTATCAACAGACACAGACATATTCTTTTTTTGTGGGATAAGGGTGACAAACGAGCATACAGTCCACCTGATGGTAAGTGGTTGCTGTAGCCCATAGACATCTACATCTATCCTCGATTACTAATCAAAATGCCGATGCGTCGTCACCCGTGAGGACTATCATGGAATGCCTCGGTTCCAGTAAAAAGGGTCTCCGGTTCTCTACACTCAACATACGAAACACAGCAGCGTTAAGCTGCTATTTTACGCTGGTATTTTGTGAGAGCGTGGTCCTTTCTCGGTCGAGCCGACCCATCCGTGTTACAACTATACCACTAATATAGCTGCAGCATGACTACCACGTCAACTACACAGACATTTTACTGCTCTATTACTGTATAATATATTTTCAATCTAAATCATGGTTAACTATTCTGCAACAAAAATTCTTAGTTCTACTTTAGATTTTCAAATGACAACTGTTCGAAAGATGTTTTTTTTTTAAGTTTCAGCGCTCATAAACTCTTACTTTTCGAAAAAAGAACATTATTACGATTATTTGAGAATTAAATCAAATTCGACATATTTCGATTTGTTGCTAGTTGTTTATTTTTTTTAATTTTAAAAATCTTTATTGCGTCCCCGTAGAAAAGGAAAAGGATACTAAGGGCGGACTTAACGCCTAAAGACATTCTCTACCAGTCAACCTATGGAGTGGTGAGTTTGTCGTAGGTGTAGTAATTAAAAGAAAAGAAAAAAAGGGAAACTAAAATTAATACACATTATATGAAACACAACAGATTATGATATAATATTGTGAGTAAATGCATGTATATATATATATATATATATGTATATATATATATATATATATATATATATATATACATATATATTCATAATATAAATGTTATTAATCATACATACGTATAAATACGACTATTTAACAATATAGTAATTCTAATGATTGATTCTTCAGTAAATACTCGCGTGTTGTGCTGGAATTTTACTAAATTTAAATATTTAAGTATATTTTTTAAACAATCTTAAACAATAAAAATAAAATAAAAAATAATATTTCATTAGTTATAAAATATATATCTTACACTTAAAACTAATTTTGACTGACGAAAGCTGGCAAAATCATTTTTGTCTAAAGAAGTTTGGGCAAAAGTAGATTTGACTGAAAAAATATTAGATAGAAATTATGACTGAAAAATATTGGTTAAAATCATTTTGACCAGGAATATTACTAAAAAAGTGTTAACACAAATGTTTATGTCAATAAAGATTTAAAAAATACTAGCTGACCCGGCGAACTTCGTACCGCAATGTTACCATCGTAGAAATATTAACAAATATTTATACTATACGATACGATATAATATTTATACGATACTAACGTCACTCAATTGTTTTGCCTTCCCGGAACCCCTCCATTACTACGATTTTTATTTCAATTTTTTTGTATGGCAATATAGAAAAGTGTTTTTTTTAGACTTTATCAGGCAATTTTTTTAAATTTTCTCTCCGTAAGAACCATCTTCGTACTTCAAGGAATATTATAAAAACGAATTCGTGAAATCGGTTCAGCTGCTCTCGAGATTTGCGCTTAGCAACACATTCAGCGATTCATTTTTAGGGTTCCGTAGCCAAGTGGCAAAATACGGAACCCTTATGGATTCGTCAAATATGTCTGTCTGTCCACCCGTATGTCACAGCCACTTTTTTCCGAAACTATAAGAACTATGCTATTGAAACTTGGTAAGTAGAAGTATTCTGTGAACCGCATTAAGATTTTTACACAAAAATAGAAAAAAAAACAATAAATTTTAGGGGATCCCCATACTTAGAACGAAAACTCAAAAACTTTTTTTCCGTCAAACCCATAGATGTGGGGTATCTATGAGTATGTCTTCAAAAATGATATTGAGGTTTCTTATACCATTTTTTTTTCTAAACTGAATAGTTTGCACTTGAGACACTTCCAAAGTGGTAAAATGTGTGCCCCCCCCCCTGTATCTTCTAAAATAAGAGAATGATAAAAGTAATAAAAATATGTGATGTACATTACCATTTAAACTTCCACCGAAAATTGGTTTGAACGGGATCTAGTAAGTAGTTTTTTTTAAACGTCATAAATTGTTACTTGCTGCTACGGAACCCTTCATGGGCGAGTCTGACTCGCACTTGGCCGCTTTTATTATATTATAGATTTATTGACATAATCAATTTTAGGTAAAACTAATTTTTTCGTAAGCGATCTTGTGAAAATTAATACGCTAGTACAACATATATGACAGTAGTCTAGGTATCCCACAGCCGCGAACATTTGGTTCATTCTGTACGGCTTAGGAGAAAGAGTTTAGCCTAGGATAAACTAATTTATCCTAATGTTGGGTTTGGCCCGTAATTAACTGTTTTAAATGCAGATTTGCTCAAAACTAGTTTTGACCGGAATTTCAATTAAAAATATGCATTTTGGAGAGTTAGTTACGGCACTTCTATTTTAGAGAAAAATTACCTAAGTGCTTCAAGTTGGCACAACATTATGAAATGTTGAAAAAATCCTAACAAAGACTGTTTGAATATTTATATTTTGTTTTACATGTGGGATAGAAAATAAAGTCAGTCTCAGATCAACCACGGTCTTTCATTAACTCGTCCCTATGGATTTACAAGAGGCAGTTAATCTAAAGCCCTTCCAAATTCTTTTTCCACAAATATTCTATAAATAGATTATCTATAAATAGGTTAGACTAGTCATTAACTGCAAAGAGTGATCTGGGCTATATTTTGTCTGAAAAACTTTGAGATTTTTTTGAGAAATCGAAAACTTGATAAAATAAACTGTCATTGATGGTTACCTTAAATCTAAATGACGCCACATTCATAGATATAAGCGAAGCCGGAGTGGGTTGCTGATATATATATATTATAATAAGAAAATAATATACTAATATATACAAAACTAGCGATCCGCCTCAGCTACGCACGTTTGATTTCTGGATCTCGACAACTACGCCACCTACCGGGTCCAATTATACATCTAAACCATTCTCCAGTCAACTTAATCACACACACAAAATTTCATCAAAATCGGTCCAGCCCTTTAGGAGGAGTTCAGTCACATACACACGGACAGAAGAATTATATAATGTATAATATGCATGTATTTGATTATACATGATTTATACATATAAATCTTCTTCTTGAATCATTCTGTCGTGTAAACCGTCGTGTAAACCACATCAAAATCCGTTTCGTAGTTTAAAAGATCTAAGCGTTCAGACGGCGGGAAGCGACTTTGTTTTATACTATGTAGAGATTAATAAATAATATAAGCATACAAAGACCTAATAGACAATTTACATAAAAAATCCATAAATTAATACATAAGGGAAACAAAAATCTAAATATCTTTAATGATTACAATTGATTATAATAATCACTATCGGGTATTAGGTAGTGATTTTTGGATTTTTGGTTGGTGACGGAGCTTCCATAAGCAGATGGCCTTGACCGTGAAGGAATTCTTAAAGCATTTAGTTCGATAAGAATGTAGCGCAAGTATAACTTCTCCGGCTGACGGCGGAACATTATCTGATGAGTCATGAGCAAGAAACTTAGTTTTTCTTCAGATAGTTTGGATTCATATAATTGGCGAAGAGGTGTGTGGAGGAAGGACTTTATTCTGCCTAAAAGTCCTTTTGTATACAAGTAGACAAGAAAGTTCTAAAAGTTGTTGAAATTTGATTTCTTGAACCACAATTTTGACAGCCAGAAGTGGCAAAATTAGAAATTTTGTACAACCGACTCAAATATAAATTATTAAGGATAACTCAACAAGTACTGGTCAGACCTTGATCAAATTTATATAGAATCACATGAAAAGCACCAGTTTTAAATAAAATATGTAAAAAAAAGTTATGAGGTAACACACATAAAAATACCTCCTTTTTAAATTCGGTAAAAAATTTAATATCACTGATGTTTAATCAGACAATTCTTAAGTAAGAGTAAATACTCATGAAAATGCCGCAAAACATAACTTCCTCATTCAACTTTATTATTGGCTGTTGCTTCGATTAACTGTCTGCACATCCATCGAATTATTTTCCATCGGATTACAATGAAAAAATTACAATATACAAAATAATAACTAATATAATTAAAATTACAATAACAAAAAAACAAAGACCTGGTAGGATCCGTGACAGGGCTCCTTTGCTGATAGGATTTCGTATAGACCTTTATCTTTTGTTTTCCGGCAGCAGTGCTATGTTACAATTTATAGAATATGAAGACCCAGTAGGTATTATAACAGACTGGTAAGGCATTCCATCGTATACCTCATTAATGACAACACGCCATTAATGATTTCTTATATTTACGCGATTACTAAATTAATAAAACTAATTTTATGGATTTTATCGCAATTTTTTAAATATTTTCATTCAAGACGCCAGCAGCTTTTCTTGTTTAAAATTTGTTTCAGTCTAGGGACTTTAGTAGCCACTATATGGATATCTAAACATAATTAACGATATTTTTTAGTTTTTCAAACAAAATAACATACTTTTATAT